GGACGCCATTCATATGCAAATGAATATAACACGTTGTGGCCTAATAGGAGTCACCTTTATTAGTATTACGACGAAATTATTTTAAATTGCCGCTATTCAATCGATATTATTTCAAAGACACAGTTCTGTCTTAGGTTCGAACTTAAAAATGATATAAACATGTTAAAGAAAAGGAATTGAATCTCGCAATTCAATTTTAACATAAGATAGATTTGATAATAAAATATTTAATAAAGATCTTAACACTATAACTACCGACGATAAACATACCTATATATATTTCTATCGGATCGATAAACATGACGTCTATAAGTTAACAAATCTATAAGTTAAGTAATTTTTTCGTTTTCGTACTGCGATAAAAATTGCAAAATATTTGAGAAAATGTGTTGTAAATTTTTACCTACTTATTAGTAGTAGTCATTTCCGACTGCGTTGATAGTTTTAGTGTTAAAAACATTCAATTATAACTAACAAGTTAAACTGTTTATAATGTTTCATTTGCAAAAATACAATTCAATTTTAATACTTTTCGAAAAAAAATATTCATGCTTACGTTTCATCTAGTCCTGTTGAATTATTGCATTTGGATCGAAACTTATGACGACTACTGTACCCACAACAGACTCACAGAAAGATCATAAATGCGAGTACACGAGTGCGTGGATAGTAATGGTATAAATACTGCACAAGTCCATTTACTCGATTCTATTGGAATTTCTAATTTAGAAGCGTAAAGGATGGAAACTCTCTCAGGATCGCGCGCGTTGAAATCACCGAGCACACGTCTTACTCACTCGTCGAAGTCTCCGATTGGAGCGGCGTTATCACTTCCAACGACATTACTGCGAACTATCTAGTATTTTTTTCAGTACAATAGAATCACCAATTATCCAAATTTCAATTATCGAAAACACCGTTCATTCCAGATGCCGATTATCCAAACACAGAATAAGTCACGAATGCTTTCTAAAAGAATTCATTTCGAAAAAACATGGGAAAACATAAAATCCATTGCTCTTAAACGAGCTTAAAGTAAATTATACACCGTTTAAATTTGGCAATATATTGCATATGCAGTGTACGAGTTCGAAACGCACACAAAAATTTTTGAAGCCAAAAAAATGTATTTAATAAGGTACAATCACTGATAAGAATAATTTCAATGCGTGAAATCAGAGTACGAAATATTTTTATTTTTTTTTTTTTATTTTTTTCATTTTATGTATTTATTTTCTACTGCCACCTTTCACAAAATTACAGTTTTCTTTCAAACACTGACGCAATTTTATTTGAAAGGTGCAGAAAATTACTATTAGGTGCACAAATTAATTCGTCGACTGAACAAGTAAGAATCGACTCAAAACTGTCCTTACATTTTTTTAGATGAGTTTCGCAAACTATAAAAAATCATGGGGAATATTTTTACAACTAGACTGTATTTAGGTTTTTTGTACAATAAATAAACATCAAATTTATGAAAAAAGGGCCACGAGTTAATTGATGCACCTAATGTTTATATTATTTGTTACTACAAAAGAAGGCAATTTTGAGTTTTGTACAAATAAGAAATTAACCAAAAGTTATTCAGATATCGAAACAAATAATATATACGATGAAAATTTTTCTTCCTTTCTGCTTAAAAAGTAACAGAATAAAAGCACTTGGCCTCGTTACAACAAACGTAAACGCACCTTTATACGCATCATAAAAGATCAGATATGCCCCGAATAATTTTTCATCGATATAATCAATCGGTTCTCATCGCGGAACGTTCGTAAAGGAATCGGAACAAATTGCTTCCCGGGGCGTGAGGATCGACCAGATCGCAACGAGGTCTAGCCCGAAGTGGAATGAAGCGGGTGGATGAACGAAGAAACGGTGAATGAAAAGAAAAAAAAATTGAATAAAAATCGCGCACGAAGCAAGCAGAAGCGAATAAACGAAGCAGCAATGAAATTCGATTGTGGAACAGGTGAGCAACCGACGCCAAATCTCATTTCAGTACAATCGTTATAAAAATTATTAGCACATTGGTAAAGGAAAATCTTCTTTTTAAATTTTTTGTGTGTTCATATTAACCTTCGAAAACCGGACCTATAATATGGAGAAGTAGGGTCATTTCTGACTCATATCATAATTTGGAATTAGTATTTTATCAAAAATTTTAGCCTGTGTTTCAGGGTCAGCTTGAAGTCTGGGTCTCCAATGACCCGCATTTGTCATCCGAGGATTAATTCATGGTGGACTCTATGAATGTTTCAAAATTACCTCCAAGCATTTTAGAACGCAATTATCGAAATGTAACTTTATCAAAGTTGAAGTAACAGAAAAATTTTGTTCACAAATTATTCAATTTATTTGCCATTTATGAGTAGACTGCGGATGTTTATGCATTTATAGCACTATTTGACTTGGAAAATATTAGAAAATAAAGGTTTCAGTAAAGGTTAATGCTATCTATGTCTTATTATTAACGGAATAAAGCCTTTAGTACAGAATAAAAAATTCTACTCCGTTTGAATTTTTAAGTATTAGCATCTGAAATTGTGAATTTGCATAAACTCCGCAGTCTATTTATGATGTATCGATATATCAATATTTGTGACGGATTTATTAAAATTTACTAAAACTATTCTTCTTGTTTATTTTACGGATTCGCATATAATTTCTGTTTACAAATTAGACAATTATGGACAAAGAGAAGAAGAAAAGGAACTTACAGAATTCTACTTTAAGATATCTGTAATCTGTTGTACAAGGAATCATAAAAATCTGTGGAAGAATAATAATAAAAGAAATATACTGATAACCGTTGAGTCACCAGCATTCGTTCGCCATTCAACGCGCGGCAAGGTTATAAACGAATCTATTGTCATTATGGAACAGAAGAACCGAACACAAAACAGTCATCGTTAAGAAAAAAAAACAGGTGTTCCGAGTTCTTCGTATTCCAGCGGTCGTGAAGAGGTAAAGCCCGAGGCGGAATGAAGAGAGTGGACGAAATGACACAATAATCCAGATTCAAAATTTAGTTCCAGCAGTCAAAAATTTGGAAACTTATAACTTACAAGTTTCCAAATTTTTGTTTTTTTTTAAATGAAACAAAATTTTTTAAGTTACACCTTTATTTAAGTACAAATAGATAAATGAAAAAAAATGTTATGGATTTTAGGAATTTTCTTCGATGACGTCATCATTCACTCAACAACTTCATGAAAGTGTGAATTTTTTCGAAAAAGCTACACTAGCGACCAAAAAAGGTTACCACATTTTTCGATTTTTTTTTATTTTTATTATTTTTGAATTGTGAAATTGTTCTTCGAAATTATATCAGGTAACTAGGTCTGAGTTTGGTTTATTGACATTTTTCTGAAGATTAAGATAACACCCCTCGATCTTCCAGACCAGCGGAACGATTATTTTCATTCGCGACAATATTCAACATAACTTATATACTTAAACAGGTTTCGGTTAAAGCAAATTGCTGTAAAAATTCTTCAAATAAAATCGTTTTGTTGCATATTATTTTAAATATTACTTCTTTTGCCAAATTTGAAATACAAAAATCACAAAATAATTCATTATTTCAAATGACTATCATTTAAAATAAATCGATAATATTTTTAATCTATACATTATCAAAAAGTATAGGAATTAAAAAATCTTATTTTCATATGCCAAATATAATATTGTCATCATTTCAAATTTCACTTTAATAGTTACAAAAACTCTGAAATATTCATTCATTGCTGCAATCACCCTATAGGGTGGGGGGGCGGGGCGGGGCAGCAATGAAAATCGAGGGGAAGAAAAGTCGTGCGCTCCCACGAGGAAGAGGCTCGCGGCCAAAAAGCGAAGTGGCGTGAAGCCAGGGCGGCGTAGTGGTCGTTCCCCGACAAAGCTTCGCGGTATACCTACCTGGACGGCAGAAGAAACCGAACAGCCGGTCGTGGAGCGTCGTCGGTTAGCTTGAGAACGGAAAGGATGAAGATGAAGAACGTCGGTGCGTGAAGATCTTCCCCTGGTGCTGTCAGTCGGTGGTCAACCGTCTCGGCGGAAGGACGTGCTGCCGCGTGCTTTCTGTCCGTATCTGTGTTTTCCTCAAACCAAACGGAACGGAAACACTCGCTGTGTCCACACCTCATCGATCGAACCGATCTAATATCAAACAGCAAAAAAAAAAACAGTGCAGTAAAATTTTCATATTTCTGATTGGAAAACACTTGGATCCCTTGAGCCAATTCTTCATTTCTGGACATTGGAGTCGTCCAATTTTGATGACCTTATCCAAGGTTGATGACTGAAGGGTACCAAATTCTGGCGGGAAGTCGACTGTTTCTGGTTGCTCGAAGACACCTGGAAGATCGTGAACTAAGTGGACATTTAGAGGATCGTAATCTAGTGGAAAATTTGATTGCTAGGAAAAAGATAATTGATCGTCCTGATGAAAGTGACGGTGATCCAGAAAGGCGGAACGGGACCAGAGGCGGCCTGAAAAGGAACGAAAACTGGTCTTTTTATGGGTCACCGCGTTAAAAGGCAGCGAAACCGTGGAATGCCAGTCGCGTACCGAATATATTGGGAGCTGAGCTTAACGGGACCGTTTCTGGACGCTGAAAAATCGAACGGTGTCGCGGCTCGACGCGTTTTCGACCTTGAATACGTACCTTGCCGTGGGTTAACATGGAAACGTAGTTCCATTGCGTGAGTCTGTGCGATTCTGAATGGTGGAATAAAGGTTTTTTTTATCTCGTTGCCGTTTGGACGATTCCTTGGCACGTTTGAAGAACTGATTCTGAAGGACGTTTGTGCTTCGGAAGATTCGAACAGGTGTGCATTGTATGTGGGGAAGGGGACCTTGAATTATGGGGAATGACCAAGTTTAAGGTCGTTTGAGTGGACTTTTTGGAGAGGATCTTTCGAGTGGAGTGTTTGAGGGAGGTTTTGTGAGGACAGAAGAGAATTTTTTTCGCAAGGAAGGAATTTTAGAGGGTAAGATGGCTTCTATGTGTGGCAGCACGAAGAGTTATCCGGCGTTGAACACCGGCAGCTATTACAGGCCAGGTGCTTACCCGTATCAGGTGAGTGTCAATGATTGTATTCCGTTTGGAATTCGGGATTGAACTCGATTTGGGGTCGAGTCGAAAATAACTTGCGTTGTAAATGTTGAAACATGCTAGGTAATAAGTAGACTACGGAAGTTTATGCAAATTCACAATTTTTGGTGGCTACAGTGAGGCACAGAAGTATTCGTACCTTTGCGATTCTTGAATTGATGTGAATTAATAATTCTTTGACAATATATATTCTAAAATGTTTATCAATAGGGATGTCTAGTGCAATAACTAAGCTTTCGAATGATGCATCATTTACTGAAAAATAACAATTCATAATAATATAAATGAAGCCCATAAAAGTATTCGTACTTGTAGCAGTTGTATCTTTGTGGAATGAAAATATTTGGAAATATTTGTAAATTTCCTGTGGTCTCTTAAATTGTACGAATTTATTAGATTAAATTTTAAATGATTTGCTTAAGTTTCCACTTTACGTATATTACTATTTTTAGTGAATGATATATGTGTGAAATTAAAATGGGACAGAATTTTTTAATTGTTTAGTATGTTATTTTCTTTTTTTTTTTATTGTAGAGGATTCACTGCGTTAATAATAACACGTAAATAGTATTAAATTTTATTGGAACCTTGATTTTATTGCGTTCGTCAAGTTCTAAGGCGCTATAAATCACAGTTGGATAATAATGCATAGTGAAGAGCAGCAGTATGTATCTAAAGGCGTCATCCTGAGCTTTAAACAGTTAATAAGATTAAATACTTATTTGCCAAATGTCAATTCATTTAAGAAGAAGCATTATTTTATTATAAAAATTGGAATTTCCACGTTTAAGCTATTAAAAGTGATGAAGTACTTTTTTCTTTCTTATTCGTTATTTTAAATTTTTTATCTAATAAACTTCCGCGGTCTAGTACTTATTACTAGTAGACTATCTTTATGCAAATTCGCAGTTTCAGATATAACTAATTTATAAATAATGAATATTGGACAGAAATTTATTTTATGTACCTACTAGATGTGTTTGTTATATTAACCTTCGTGCACTGTTCAATGAACTGTTGCATTTCTATTCCTGGAATTAAATTGAGCCAGAATTAAAATTATAATATGTATATGGAAGCTGTTGGTGTTGAATTCGTTTAGGAATTTCTATAATAAAATATACTGAGTTAGAATCAAACATTGGCTGCGGATCAAATTCAGGGTTAATATTAATATGCAAATGTTATTAAATTATATTACAGTCTTTGTCTTGAAAAAATTTGTTTCCTGTACTGAATGTATTTCTATATTGATAATAATATATAAATGTTTTCAAAGTCTTTATTTTGCAAATATTTTGCAAGTTAAAAAATGCTATAAATGCATAAACATTCGCAGTTTAATGATGGAGTAACAGAAATAATATGAATATTTGAATTAAATGATGATTGTTTAGTTTGATAATTATTGAGACGGTTTGGAAGGTTAATTGTTGGTTACAAAGTGTCTTGGATCGACATAAATTAAAAAAAAGGGAAATTCAAATTAGTTGTGATCCAAGCTAATATACATAGACGTCGTGTCCTCCAATTACTCTTGAAATAATGGATGCAATGATTTGTCTTGTATTAATTAACAACTGTGCATGAAGGTCTCATCTCCAATGAAATTACTACAGATTTCTGTATTTGTAGCTATTGATGAATATGCAAGACACGATAAATTATGGATGCTAACAGCATTGTTCTAATAAATTCTTTAATGGAGGAAACGAATATTAATTTAACACATTGATTGTCAGAATTTTTTAGTTTTAAATGAATATCATAAAGTATATCTGTTTAAATTTTTTCTCTTGTAAATATGAATATTTATATGTTCACTCATACACTTCTTGTTTGGATCATTGTTCTACTACTACTTATATTCACAAGATTATAAATATTATAGTTTAAAGGTCAAATGCTTTCTCATATAATTTACTGTAGTAACACGTATCTACCGTGGCAATCAACGTGTGAACCCTTTAATTTCCAAATTATTTAAAAATAACCAAAGAAATATTTTATTGTATTTTAGTATATATCACATGACATATAAATGATTCACAAGTACATTTAACATTTTGAAACCGTTTAATGCTGTTCTTCTTTCGGCGTCACTTTGCTATTTGTTTACTTTCATTACAGTTATGATAAAATAATACGTCCTTTTAACCAAATAAAAATTGAAAACTCTTTTGTGCATCTTAGATGACATATGAATAATTCACAAGAACATTTTAACATTTTGAAACCGTTTAATGCAGTTCTTTATTCGGTACCATTTTGTTACTTTTTTACTTTTATCACAGTTATATATACATAACAATTCTGCAATAATGGCCATAAGAAAGTTGAAAGAAAATCACAACAAAACTGAGTATAATTTGATAGAAATTGGATTTTGCAAAGACAGTGAATTTATCTATAACGAAATTATTCGAATAGTCCCAGCCCTACTTGGAAATTAAAACGGATAGCAAAAGTGTCGGTCGGCATCGTAAGAATCCACGAATGTATTATCGCACTCGTTAGCTTCCTCTCTCCGGATATTCGGATGCTTACGCATCGGCTCCGTTATGATCTGCAACCGGAAATCGTTTTGACGTGGTCGACGGCGAACGCGTTAGGCCTACGAACGAAAGAACGCCGGTGAATATATTGAGGGAAAACCCGTTTCATGGCCGGCACGCACGACACGGGTAAAACAGCATGAATAATGGAGAGGAATCAATTGTTCGGCCGATTGCTTAGAGGGTTTGAAGGATGAAAATTCGAACGTTGGAATAATAATTATTCCGTTTATTTTTACAGTGGATTTTGAATGTTATTTGCCGATTTATTTCTATTGATCTATAACCATGGCGACCTTATTGACGATTTTCTCAAAAATTGGAATTACACCACTTTCAAAATAAGATGGTATGTAATCGTAAATTATTATGAAAATTGAAGGTGGTCATCCGAAATTATTATCCGGATTATAGATCGTCATCTTAAATTATCATAAAAATGTAAGATCGTCATCCTAAATTATTATAAAAATTAAAGATGGTTCTCCGAAAATATCACCAAAATTAAAGATAGTCATCTTAAATTATCATTCAAATTATAGCTAATCATTGTAAATTATCATCAGAATTTAAGATGGTCATCCCAAATTATCAAAATTAAAAATGATTGTCCGAAAATGTCACCAAAATTAAAGATAATAGTTCTAAGATATAGATCCTAAAGTATCATCAAAATTAAAAATAATTATCGTAAATTATCACGACAATTAAAGATTGTTATCCTAAATTATCATCAAAATTGGTTGGTCATTTTGAATTAACATCAAAATCAAAATTAAAATTGATCACATTAAATACGGTCACCATAAAGTTAGTTTTTCAAGTAAACTCTTGTTTGGTGTATTTTATTTATAATACATATGTTACATGACCTCTGCTATTTTCTCTTTCATATTTATTTACATATGTAACTATTCAGTAATTTATTGTGTAATGATAAAATAGGTTAAATTGAAAAATACAGTAAAATGAAGATTCTAATAAAATTTAGTACTACATATTTATATATTGCTATAAAAAATACTAAAATCCCTAGAACGTGAAATAACATTCTGACAAATTTCAAATGTTACAAGATTAATAACAAGAATTGTAAAGTTGCTTAAACTTCCACTGCCTACTCACGTTGAAAGATTTCTTTACTAATATGATCTTTATTAAGAATATAAACTTATCAAGTTTAGGTTTTTATTAATTTAAGTCTCATGTTTAATTGAAAATATTAACAATGTTTAATTAAACAATAAATTTGATGCGTTTATATTTTTCCATTAACCATGAATCTACAAGGAAAATAGTTTTAATTCATTACCTCGAGTATACACAATGAAACAAGGAATCGTAGGATACACGTTTAATTCTTTTAAGCTAGTATACGCTTATGGCCCATCATAAATGGTTGCCATTACTTGCTAAAAACGGCTATACACAGCCGACAAATATTCAATCGCAGACAGACATCCTATTATTCCTCGTTTTATGCAATCGTGATGCGTCACCGTATCACTTCTCGTCGCTATTGACAGAGAATATTACTCAAACATCGCAAACAAGACGTAAACGTCATATTATTCTCAGAGTTAAGTGTTAAACACGGAAGTCGCTGAGTCTAATAACATCTATAAACACACAAAGATTTGAGAAATGTTAAACTTGGCATAAAAATTCTGTCTTTTCCAGCGTTTTCAATGTTTTCAAGTAATTTTATTTTTTATTAATTTTAAATTTAATTCTTTAATTTTATTTTCTATTATATCAAGTAGTCTCAAAATATTCTAAAATGTCTAAAATTTACAAATATATGTATGTTTTCACAAAAATTTTTATTCATACTTTAAATAGTAAGTAATTACCTTTCTCGCATGACGAGTATACTCATTACATAAAAACTTGCCATTTCTTCATGACGAGTATACTCGTCATTACATAAAAACTTGCCATTTCTTCATGACGAGTATACTCGTCATTACATAAAACCTTGTCATTTCTTCATGACGATTATACTCGTCATTACATAAAAATTTTCCATATCTTAATGACGAGTATACTCGTCATTCACAGCTAAGAGGTTAAGGAACCATATTTTCATGTACTAAATATGTATTAATATTATTATCATTTAAAATTCGACTTTAATAATCACAAAATCTCTTAAATATTAATTTCCTGGTGCATTTACCCTAATAATTTCTGTTCTACGAAATGTACTGTGTAAATCATAAAAATTAGCAGAATTCTAGTTTAAATACTGTTAAAATTGAAAAATTAGAGACCGAATCGATCAGTGCGTGTACCCACTCTGCGTACCCGCGTGTACAAGATAAGAAACCACGGGGATCGACAAGATCGACTCGCCCGTCGACAATGAGAGTGACGACTAACGGGATCACGGTGTTCCCACTCGCCATT